TCGATCGAACCTTGAACTTGGATCGATCGAACTTTGCTGCTTCCCACCTTTGGCTTCATTTGCTTTCTTCTTTCTCCAATTTGCTCCTTTCTTTGCTTAATCCTAGAATTGCTTTAATTAAGCTCTTATTTGGCTGAGTTAGCTTATTTTCGGGATAAGTGCCTGAAAATGGAAATAACACGAAATCAATCTAAAATGGTAAAGTAAGATAGATAAAGGTGCTAGAATGTCTAAGCGTAAGGGGTTTAAATACGCACTTTTTAGCGCTCTCTTTTTATTTTTCATTTTATATATATAATGAAAAATAAAAAGTGGGATGTTTTGAGTTAGTGGTGGGGCCCACTCCCCACTCACATTTTGTATGGCCAAGAGGCCATTTTGGCCTCTCATGTTCCTCCCCCTTCCCAGCAGCTCTCTTTTCCCCTCTCTGCATTCTCTTTTTCTTTTTCTCTTCTCAAGCTTTAAAGCTTGATTCAAGTCCAACCAATTGGAGTTTAACTGTGCCGTTTACAGCAAATCAGAGAGCTCATCGAGGCCATCACTTTAGTGTAAGCAATTCATCATTTGGCCAACTTTTGGAAATTCAAATTTAGGGTTCTTGGGGCTGAAATTTGGGCTTAGCTTGGTTTAATCTTCAATTTGAGGTAGGGGTTCTCCAATGTATCAAGTTTTGTCTCTTAATTTGTGTAGAATTCTATCATTATTGTTATATGCTTAAAGTTGCAAATTTTGACATGAGATTAAGGACTTAGAAATGTCTTAACTGTTAAACCATAAGGCCATATGAGGCCCTTGTACATGTTTTACTTGAGATGATGATGCCTTGTTTTATTGAAATTTCAAGTAGATTATGTTTCTAATTGACTATTGTTAGTGCTATGATGATGTGATCTTGATGTAATGATGAAAGTTATTACATTGCATATCATTGCATAAAGGAAGGATCTTTTGGAGGAAAAATTGAAATGAAAGGTTGATTTTAAAAAGGTAAGTTTTCTTTTGAGGAAGGAAAAAAGGGTTTTCTTTAAAATGAACCGGATTTCGCGAGTCCGGGGTTAGCTTGACCTAAGGGAGCGCGGCCCGGTTTGGGTGTGAAATAGTTGATACTAGACTTTTAACAGTTTCTGGGCATTGCCAGAATTGGAATCGAGACTAGTTATCAATCTCGCCTCGGTAAAGTCAGTTAGCGGGTTTTCTAAAAACGTGGGTTGGGTCGGTATGGACTAAAAATTGAGATGGGTGCATTTACATTCCATTTTATACATGTTGTTCGGTGAAATTGTGATAAGTATTGCAATTATTCTCTTGCTAAGTTGATTATGATGTATGAACCCCTTGCATGATCCCGGCATCTTTTCAATCCCATTATGTGTTATTTGACTCAAGGGAGTTCAAAACTAACGCCTTAGGTAACTTCTACTGAGCTTTATGCCCACCCCAATACTTTAACATTTTTCAGTTCAGGAAAAAAATTGGCGGATGACAATCCTCTACTACCTTAGGCTGGAATGGAACCTTCATTTTGTTACTTTTTGTATGGAAACTTGACGAAGTGCATTTATGTACTAATGTAACAACAAATTTAAGCTATGGACTACAAATTATATGACAATTTTGTTTCCTTGTAAAAGACTATGATGAACCGTGTATGACTATATTGTTAGTGTATTTAAATGGGATTGTAGTATGTATTTTCAGTGGTTTATCATATGTTGGAGTAGGATTCACACATTGCAAAGTTTCATAGGAGGGATTAGAACATTTCCAAGCTCATAGTAGTTCAGTGCAAATTTCACAGGTTGTAGAGTCATTTCGGCCGACTGAAATGGCTATTTCGGTCAATTGATTCTTTTGTTTTTGGCCAACCAAAATTTACATTTTGGTCGACCGGTTCTGGGTAGCCTCAGAAGCCATTTCGGCCGGCTGAAGTCCCAATTCGGCCGACCGAAATAACACTGTTTTGAGTACCTTTCTCCCTTCGTCGGTTCATTTAAACTCTGAGCCTTGGAATGTTTTCTGGAACCTTCTTGAGGTATAATAAGGTACCATGGTGATGGATGAACACTAGACATGGAAGTGTTTGACTTAGGTGACCTCGGGTTCTGGTAAGGACTCGGTTAACGATTCGGACCTACGGGTTCGGGCAGTTACAAATTTAGTATCAGGGCGATGGTTTGAATACCATTAGGATGATGGGTAGAGGCCTATCTAGGATTTGCATTGAAAAATTTAGGGTGCGTTTAGTAACGTTTTCGTTTCCTGTTTTTGCAGTCTTAAGAAAGCCGAAACATGATTTTGCTTTCTTGAGTGAAAATAGAAAACAGAAATGATGTTTATTTATACTTGTTGTTGTCACAAATTTGAAAACATAAAACAATAACTGTTAGTAATACAACATATTTGTTACAAAATGTACATAATATTCTTTAATTATTTTATTTTATTTTTTTCATGGCAAGAATTTTAGGAGTTAGTGATTAAAGGGGAGGGTGAGGGGGAGGGTAGATGACTTGAACACGAACTCTCGGACACAGGGAACAACCCAACCACTCAGGCACGACACTTACTTCCATTAATATAAAAAAGACATAAATCTAGAAATTCTAATTTAAAATTATACGTAAATCTTAAAAATACCCAATACATCATAAGTATAAAATTAGATATACCAAGATAAAAACATTCCCACGAATTATGTATATAAATACATGTATATGCATGATGTATACATTTATTTTGTGATATATAATATATTTAGCATATGATAATTTACTATAAATAAAAAATATTAAATAATATATCTTATATGTAATGAAATATATATTATGTTATAATATTGTAAATTAATTATAATTTAATATTTACATATAATATAATATAGATATGATATATATAATAATATAAAATATTTACTGCTTAATAATTTAATAACATTATATTCTATATCAAAAAATATTTTGTCACAAAAAATAATTATATTCTATATCAAAAAATATTTTGTCACAAAAAATAATTTACATTATTATTTAATACATTAGATATTAAAATATATTTTTATCAAATAAAAAATAATATACAATATTTAATTTATTCTATATTAAAAATATATATTTTTATTAACATTTAATATACAACTTAGTAGTATATAACACAAATAATATTAATTTTATTTGAAATGAATAGTTCTGTGCAGTAACATTAATGAAAATGTTTTTGCGCTACAGTGCCGAAAACCTAAGAAACATCATTTTGATGTTTTCTCTTTTCTTCACAAAAATTGAAAACGTTTTCTGTTATAAAAAAACAAAAATATTTTATTGAACACGATTTTTGTTTTCGTTTTGCTTTTTTAAAGGTTGAAAATAGAAAACAAGAAACATTTCTCGTTACTAAGCGTAACCTTAATTACATGTTTATATGCTTACATGTAAGGTGTTAACTTGTTTGAAAAACATGCCTACTTGCTTACTTGTCTATGTGATTACGTGGTAAGTGTTTAAAGTTGATGCTCATCATTGGTTGGGTTTTTCAAGAGTATGGAACGTGTTGTCATTTACAGTCAAGTCAATTGCGTGAGGACTCAGTTCTCATGTGTCTCTTAGTGTCTTTGTTTTAATCCATTCTCTCGTTGTATAGTGTCATGCCACCAAGAAAGGATCCCGATGAGAGTTCTAGCTTTAATCCCTCGGAGAGGGACCAGGAGCAAGTTGAAGAAGATGTTTTGTTGTGTGATTTGGTCCCACCAAGGGGGGAACAAGTGAGGGGGATTGTTAATCCACCTATTTAGATAAGTGAGGAGCAACTTAAGTTGGCAGTACAGGTAGTCATTCACGATATGTTTTGACCAGCAGTGGTGTCATCATCATAGGGTGTGCCACCACCTACACCACCTCTAAAGAAAAGTGAGTCGGATGAGACTCTCTACCACATCGCTAAATTCATGAAGTGAATGTCGACTCTATTTGAGGGCGGCCTCGATCCGCTTGTTGCAGATAGTTTCATGGATAAGGTGGAGAAGCACCTCAATGCCATGAATCTGGCGACGGATAAGTTGAAGATTACATTGGCGACTTATTACTTTGTTGGGGATGCTGAAATTTGGTGGAAGACCATTTCTCACACTCACAATTTGGATACAATGACTTATGCTGCATTTAAGAAGTTGTACTACGAGAAGTACTTTCTGGCACCTAAGAGGAGGGAATTGAAGAAAGAGTTTGATGGTTTGGAACAAGAAAACATGACAGTTACAAAATACGAGAATAAGTTCACATCGCTTTTGAGGTTTGCACCAAGACTTGCTGAAGATGAGGAAGGAAAGATAGAAAAATTTGTTAATGGCCTTGATTTCACTATCAGGTTATTTGTGGCTGCTGTGGAACCAACAGAAAATGTAAAGGCAGTGAGAAAGGCCTTAGTTGTAGAGGTCAAGAAAAGGACAAGAAAAATATTAAGGAGTTATACAAGCTTAACAGAAGTATGGGTGCTACTTCCGAGGGCCAATCATAGAAAAAGCAGAAGAATGAACCATCAGGGTCCAGGGGATAACAGTCAATTAGATCTACACCCACAATGTTGGTGTCTATGGGGTTTTCTGGACCTGATGTCACGTGTAACAAGTGTAAGCAACCCGGGCATTACAAGTCGCAATGTCCACAGATTCAGATAGCTACGGGAGGATGTTTTTGGTGTGGCCAGCAGGGTCACAGGGTGAGAGATTGTCTACAACAGAACAGAGGCTCAGGCAGGGGTGGAGGTCCACAGCAGAGGTAAACTCAGTTCACTATAGTTCAATCAGGGTTTTAACCGCCACCACCACCTTAGCCATCCCAGCCAGCTATGGCAGCTCAGAGTTCTCAACAGTGTAGAGGGGCTTCTTCTAATGCAACTACTTAGCAATCTGGTTATCAGATAGGTGGTCCTCGGGGTAGAGGACTCAGGGTCGTGTGTTTGTACTCATTCCAGCCGAGTCACCATCTAGTCATTCAGTTGTCAGGGGTATGTTCCTTGTGTCCCATTCTTGGGCTAGAGTGTTGTTTGATTCTGGTGCCTCTTATTCTTTCATTGCTTTATCATTTGTACGGGCATTGGGTTTGGAAGCCAGTCAGTTAGATAGACCACTTTGTGTTGACATGCCTGTTGGGGGTTCAATTGCTCTTAGTAGAGTCTGTCGGAGTTGTTCCATCACGATTACCAGATTTGTTCTTAAGTTTGATCTCATCCTTCTCGAGATGACAGGGTTTGACGTCATTCTTGGGATGGACTGGTTGTCTTCCTTCAGAGCCGTTATTGATTGCTTTAGGGGCAGAGTGTCAGTGTGTACCCCAGATGGGGATTGCTTCTGTTTTGTGGGAGATTGATGTAATTGTCTCACTCCTTTATTTTATGGTGTTAGAGGACAGGATCGGCAAACATTCTTCTTAGCTAGCCCCTTAGCCGATAATATTGTTGAGATGTGCGGAGTTGAGTATCCGTTGGCTATGCGTGATTTTCTGGATGTGTTTCCGGAGGATTTAACAGAGTTGCCTTTACACCGAGAGGGAGAATTTGCCATTGATTTGATGCCTGGTACTGCGCCAATCTCTATGGCTCTGTATCGTACAACACCAATTGAATTAAAAGAATTGAAGAGACAGTTTGATGATTTGAGGGTGAAAGGCTTCATCCGACTGAGTGTGTTACTGTGGGGCGCACCGGTCTTGTTTGCGAATAAGAAGGATGGTTCTTTGAGGTTGTGCATTGATTACTGGAAGTTAAATCATGCCACCATCAAGAACAAGTATCCTTTGCCAAGGATAGATGATCTGTTTGATCAGTTGAAGAGAGCCAGTTGTTCTTCGAAGATTGACTTAAGGTCTGGCTATTATCAGTTACGGGTTAGGGATGAAGATATCCCAAAGATAGCGTTCCGTACATGGTATGGACATTATGAATTTCTTGTCATGCCCTTCAGCCTGACTAATGCACCGGCGGCATTCATGGACTTAATGAACCATGTCTTCCACGATTACTTAGATTAGTTTTTGGTAGTTTTTGTGGATGACATACTTGTGTATTCACGAACTCGGGAGGAGCATGAGGTTCATTTGAGTATAGTGTTATAGATTTTGCGGGAGCATCGTTTGTACGCCAAATATGAGAAATGTGAATTTTGGCTACAGAAGGTGAAGTTTTTAGGACACGTTGTCTCGAAAGGTGGAGTGTCGATTGATCCATCGAAGATAAAGGCAGTTTTGAATTGGGAGCAACCCAAGAATGTTTTTGAGATCCGGAGTTTCCTTGGCCTAGCGGGTTATTATCGTAGATTTGGGAAGGATTTTTCCCGTTTGGCACCTCCTATGACTAGATTGACCTGGAAGGAAATCAAGTTTGCATGGAACGAAGCTTGTGAGTCTTCCCTTCAAGAGTTCAAGGCAAGGTTGACTACGACTCCACTGTTAGTGATACCCGTGCGTGGCTTGGGTTATGTGATCTACTGTGATGCATCACGTGATTGATTGGGTTATGTTTTGATACTGGATGGTAGAGTAGCTTATGGGTCTCAATAGTTAAAAACTCACGAGCATAATGATGAGTACTGAAAAATGCGTATTTAAACCCCTTAAGCTTAGGCATTCTAGTGCCTTTATCTATTTTACTTTACCATTTTAGATTGATTTCGTATTATTTCAATTTTCAGTCACTTATCCCGAAAATAAGCTAACTCAGCCAAATAAGAGCTTAATTGAAGCAATTCCGAGATTAAACAAAGAAATGAGCAAAGTGGAAAAAGAAAGAAGCAAAATGAAGCAAAACAGCAAGTTTGATCGATCCAAGTCCAAGGTTCGATCGATCGAACATTGATCGATCTCAGCACTTCAAGATACATCCAAGCCTTGACCCAAAGCACTTAAGTCCAAAAGTTCGATCGATCCAACATCATTCTTCGATCGATCGAACACCTTTGTCCTTATCCAAATGATTGATCCTATCCACGGCTGTACCACCCACCAACCACTTTTGTCCTTTTCCCATAAATATCTTCCATAAATATCTCGGATTTGTCTTTTTTCCAAAAAGTTCAGCCAGTTGGATCGATCCAGCCTAAGTTCGATCGATCTCACTTACTTTCAATCGATCTCACTTACTTTCGATTGATCGAACTTCCTTTAATGCGAAAAAGTTAAAATTCCATCTCATTGAAAGTTGTCCTTTATCCAATCATTAGGGAATATTGTGTGTACGACCTTAGCTCATTTTGGGTCTCATTTTGACCTATCTATATAAGGATAAGGATTGCTTTTTGAAGAGGGAGCCAACATTATTTTTGATATCATCTCTTAGAGAGGAAGTTTTAGAGGAGAGGAGGCTAGAGACACCATTGGAGATCTTCATCAACAAGGAGCAAACCTCTTCCATGGACTTAGCCCTTGAGGGTTGGAGCATCCTCACCATGAGTTGCTAGACATCTTCTTGGGGCTAGAGTTAGCCCCAAACATGCTTTCTATATCTTAATCTTGTGTATTATTGAGGGATTAGTGTTGTAATTAATGTTTTGACACCTTGATATATATAGATCTTGTTTAATCAATGATTTGTGTTGTTTAATGCTTTCAATTGATCATTTCATTCTATTCATATGTCTATGTATGCTAGAATTGATGTTTATGTTCTTGTCTCTAGATTTTGTGTAGTTGATGCATGTCTATGTGTATTGATGCCATGGATTTAGAGATTGTCAAAACATAGTGCTTAAAGGAATGCTTTTGTGATTCTCTTGATGGTTCATGCTTATCTCTTGATGGATTGTGCCTCTCCCCTAGTTTATTTTCATGCTAGTAGCTTAGATGTAGTGTAGTGTTAAATGGGGGGACAATCTATGCTTGTTTGATGATCCAAGCTTTTGAATGCAATTAGCATATGTCTCTAATTTTGTGTTATATTTGGATTGTGAGCCTAATGAAAGGATTAATGACTTGTTTTGATTTATTGTGCCTTTCACATGTTGTTTAGACAATATATGCTTCATTGCTTAGATATATTGTGCCTTTCACATGATGTTTAGACAATACATGCTTAACTAGTCATCCTTACTTGTTGAATCAACCAAATACACACATACCAATATTGCAACACCCTAATTGCCCTCATTAATCACTTGTCAATAATATAGAAATGCATTGCTTGGTGGTGATCTCTAAACCCCAAGAATCTTCTCTCTTTTACTTACTCTTAATTGCACTCTTTTGCTATTACTTAGTTTAATTTAGTTGCTCTTTAATCAACCAACCAACCAATTGTTTGATCACTCGACCTACTAGCCCTAATTGCGATTCCCCAATCAACTCCGACATTGCTCAATCCCCATAATCCCTTGGGACGATCCCTACTCGCCCTAGCTATATTTTTAGTGAAGGTAGTAGTGCCTTTATAAATGTAACTCTTAGCCCTCGCCTTAATGCACACTCTTAAGCTTATGGTAGGACGACGGCCATAGTTTTTGGCGCCTTTGCCGGGGATTTGTTGATTAGATTTGGTAACGTCGGATTTGTGGAATTGATTAGGATTAGTATTCTTTTGATCGTGTTTTTACTTTATTTTTATTTTTCTTTTTGGTTACTTATTGTGTTGTTCTTACTTAACTAGGTGCATTGTTGGAGAGGAAGCAAGCAAATGAGCCATTGAGCATTCATTTCAAGCAAGTAAAGAAAGGAAAAGTGCTAAAAACTTAATTTTTTTTTGCTAAGCTAAGCTTTAAAATTTGGAGTTGAAGTGCTAAAGGACCTTTGTGAGACTTTCTTTACTCAATTCCTTAGTTAAATTGTTGGCCCTCGTGGAGGCTGGTAATTCAATTCTTTGATAAATCGTGAGCCCACGTGAAGGCTATTTTATTATTCTTTGCATCATCTTTGTTAAAGCATAGGAATATGGGTTAAGTGTTTGCGGAGGGAGTTTCATTGCATTGTTGTGAAGGCATAGTGTTTGTCATTCTTTGTGTTTGTTGTGTTTTGTATTGTGCATGCATGGGCGTCGTTCATTGAGACCAACTCTTGCCCCTCTTGATTTGCATCTTGAATTTATCATTAGAAATCCTAAGGGAAGAGGAAGTTCAAATAGAACCAATCTATCAATGGATGGCCATAATGATGACCATATTGAGGACAATGGTCACATAGACCAACAAGGTATCCTTCATCCTAATGTGCACTATGAAAACATACAAGTACCATTAGGAATGCCAAGGCCATTTATCCAACCACCACAATAACAAGGCCAAGTTCCGTATGGAATGCCAAGGCCAATGCATGCTCCACAACTTCCTGTCATTAATCAAGGAATTCATAACCAAGCTGTTCATGTTGCACCTCAAGTAGCTAATCCACCTCTTGCTTTAAGAGATCACTATGTGCCTAATGAATACAATGCACCCACTTACATTCAATTGCGACCATTTAGAGCACATCATTATGAAATTAAAGCACAAACTATTCAAATGCTTCCTAACTTTCATGGACTTCCTAGTGAAGAACCTTAGAAGCATTTGGATGAGTTTCTTGAAGTAAGTTCCATCGTAAAATATGCGAACATGCCAGAAGAGGTCTTAAGACTTAAACTTTTTTCATTCACCTTAAAAGATAAGGCAAAGTATTGGTTTAACAAACTTAGGCCTTTTTCAATCACTTCTTGGGCGGAAATGCAACAAGAGTTTTTAAAGAAGTACTATCTGGTTTCTAAGACCAATGCCATGAGAACCTCAATTCGAGAATTTTCACATGGGGATGGAGAAACATTTCATGAGGCATAGGAACGCCTCAATGAATTGCTTAGGAAGTGTCCACATCATGACATGCCCAATGGAAATTAGTTCAATATTTCTTTGAGAGCTTATCGGACAACTATAAAGGTATGGTTGATACTTCCATGGGTGGCTCTTACATTGATAGGCATGAGGATGACGTATGGCGTCTTTATGAAAGCATGAGTGAAAATTCTTTGTATAGAACACTATCATCCAAGAATGGTAGAAATTCACAAGGTAAGAAGAGTGTAGGCTTACATCAAGTCGAACATTCAAATGAAATAGCCGCCGAAATGAAGTCTTTGTCTCAAAGGTTTGATCAATTTTTGATTAACCAAAACTCGGCGAACCAAGTATCTTCCTTCCCTAACCATTCTCATCGTGCATCAAATGAAACATGTATGACTTGTTCTAGTGTTCTTCATTCTACCTCTCATTATCCTCATAGACAAGTGCATAATGAACCTAATGAACAAGTCAATACGGCTTTTGTAAACCAAGGGGACAATCTTTATGGTACTCATTATAATCTAAGTTGGAGGAATCATCCTAATTTCTCTTGGAAAAACCAAAGAGAGGGCTCAAACCCTTCCCAAGGCAGTTTCCAAGGAAAATACATTCCACCTCCACTTTCAAACCAAGGATCCCAAGGTTATAGACCTTATCAATCACAAGGGAATCAATTTGCTAATTTTCATTTTCCCAACCAATTTTATTCCCAAGGAAACACTAGAAGTCCCGCCTTTGAAGAAAAAGTTTTAAATGCTTTGGGGACTCTTGAGGCTAACACTCAATTGCTTCATTCTCACTCTCAATCCATTGCTAAGCTAGAAACCCAAGTAGGGCAAATAGCAAGCACTCTCAATGCAAGAG